ATTTAAAAGAGAGGTCGCTTTGCATGTTTAAACAGTCTTCGTGCCTCTCCCTCTTGGCCAGAATGTCTGGGTTCAAGTCCCACCTACTCCAGAGTAGTGTCATGACATTTGAACAGGCAGCAATGTATCATGTGAAGCACTAGAAGGGGTGGAACTAGACTCATGGAGGTTTACAGCATAGAGAAAAGGCCCTTTAGCTCATTAGGTCTACGTCAGTCAAAAACCACCACCTATGTATATATTCCCAAACCCCAACATCTGGCCTATATCTTCGCATGCTTTGGCATTGCAAGTGCATTCTTAAATAATACTTAAATTTGAGAATTTCTGTCCCTGCCATTCTTACAGGCAGTAAGTTCCAGATTCCCAACACTATCTGAGTGAGAAAAGATTTTCCTCACATCCCTCTAAACCTCCTGCCCCTGGTCATTGATTGCTCTACCAGGGGGAGAAGTCTTTTCCTGTCTACCGCATGGCCTGTATAATTTTATACATCTCAATCACGTCCCGTCCTGTCCCTCTCCCAGTCTCCTCTGCTCAGGCAAACAACCCCATTCTAGCCCATCTCTTCATAATTGAAAACTCTCCACTCAAGACCACATTCTAGTAAACCTTCTCTGCATCCACTCCAGTACAAATATATCCCTCCTACAATATGGATTCTAGTACAGGACACAACACTCTAGCGGCAGCCCATCTAGAAAGAAAAACGGTAAAACACTGATGTAATGACTCCTTGTCCTAAAATGCATTACCTATAAATATAGCTTCTTGTGTCAGCTAGGAAAAGAATCCTACAGAATAAAGAAATGACAAAAACAGAGATAATGCTACCCTTGCAAAGATGAAGAAAGGGAAAAAAGTGTAGGAGGGGGAAAGCAGAAGGAACTTCAATTACTAAAGATAAAAGGTTCCCAAATACCAATGTTCCCTGTGCAAATGTGGAGCAATCTGGAAGTTTGTGTACAGGTCATACAGTTGACTCTATGAATACCTTGTGCACGTGCAACATGCAAAAGATTTTAAAAGGTACCCAACACAAAAAAAAACACTTGCACATTCCAAAACAAAATTTAAGAGTTGCTCGACTCCAGCTCTTACAATTGACTAGCCATTGCTCAACACTGACTCAGAGAGGTGTAGAACAATCTAATTTTTGGATCTTGATTTTAAAAGGAACTGCCTCCACACTCATTCAGCCTGACACTGGTGACAGCAGATCTAGACCAACATTTTGCCAATCAGCCACGATATCTAATGAGTCCTATATTTGTTATTTCAATTTCGAATAGCATGTTTTTTCTTCTCGAAATGGAATGCAAAGTCTGTCCTACTAAGTCTTCATTACCCACTGACACTAAAGTTATTTTTCTAATACAGAGAGAGAGAGGTGGCAACTTTATGTTCCATTTGGCTTTCCAAAGTCTCATGACTTGCTTGCAAGATAAATAATTATTTTCTGTTACAATTAATCTACAGGCTCATTGGTTTCAGAGAAAAAGCCATAATCTAACTATGACTAGAGGTCAAGGTAATAGATCACTTTGATTATGATTGCTAACCACCTTCACTAGCATTCAACAACTGAACTTCACTTCGCAAAAGCAACTTTCAAGCAAAAACACCAATTTGGGGCACTTACCTCTCAAAATCTGTTAGGTTGCTCTTACAGAATACCAACCACAAAACTAAACAGTCACTACACTATATATAAAGTTCGCAGCGACCTTTTCGTCCATATTGCATTAGTTTAAGAAAATGAGAAAAGTGGTTTTGTTTGAATCACCAGTTGTATAACATCCCAATCCAGTGATAAATCCACTGCTGCCTCCTGGGAAAAATTATAACTGATGTTCCTTAGTTTGACCTAATAAGAAAAACTTTAGTGCACTAGAATGACATCACTGCCAATTAGTTATAGGCAACCTTGTACTGTGGTCTCACACAACTAGAAACTAGATGACGACTGCCAAAAGTTTGTTTCACTCAGGAGTATTAATCATTTCACTCTTACATCATTCTTGGCTGGACTTGTAGTGAGGACTTAGAATTGATCACATCCCTAATGAATGCACATTTAAGAATAAATTAATGTCCTACCTTAGGTCAAAAATGTTTTCTTTATGGCTGTAAACTGAAAGCAGCATTTTTTTTCTGGTAGGCAGTCCTACAGATAACAACCATCTGACATCTCAACCAAAAAGTCATTTTTAGGCATGAGGGTGGACAACTAACATTAATTTGAAAAGAAAACAGGGAAACGTCAATGGCCAAGCCTGCACACACTTGATGTACACAAAAAACACACATTATTGCAAAGCACTTGGGAAGGGGAAACCCTGGTCAAATTCCACCTTTTGGTGTACTATTTAGCCCCGAGCTGAGCTTGTAAGACCCTGGTGGTCTACTGGTTAGGATTCGGTGCTTTCACCGCCGCGGCCCTGGTTCGATTCCCGGTCAGGGAATTGAACCTTCTGTTCTCCCAATAGACTGTGGTGTCAGCATTTCTGACTGATTTTTCAGGAGCTGACAGATAATCTGTTTAAATTCTTTGAAGAGGTGACCAAACATGTGGATGAAGATAGAGCAGTGGATGCGGTATACATTGATTTAAGTAAGGCCTTTGATAAGGTTCCCCATGGTAGGCTCATACTGAAGGTAAGGAGGTATGGGATAGGGGGAAATGTGGCAGATTGGATTCAGAATTGGCTGACCCTCAGAAGACAAAGGGTGGTAGTGGACAGAAACTATTCAACGGTGCTCAGTTACGAGTGGTGTACCACAAGGATCTGTTCTGGGTCCTCTTCTATTTGTGATTTTTGTAAACAATTTGGATGTAGGAATGGAAGGGTGGATTAGTAAGTTCGCGGACGTTACGAAGGTGGGTCGAGCTGTGGATTGTGTGGAGGGCTGTTCTAGGTTACAAAGAGACATTGATAGGATGCAAAACTGGGCTGAGAAGTGGCAGATGGAGTTTAACGCTGAAAAAAGTGTGAGGTGATTCATTTTGGAAGGACAAATTTGAAAGCAGAATACAGGGTTAACGGAAAGATTCTTGGCAGTGAGGAGGAGCAGAGGGATCTCGGGGTTCATGTCCACAGTTCCCTGAAAGCTGCCACCCAGGTGGATAGAGTTGTTAAGACGGAGTATGGTGTGTTAGCTTTCATTAATAGAGGGATTGAGTTCAAGAGCCGTGAAGTTACGCTCCAGCTATACAAAATCCTGATTTGGCCACATCTGGAGTATTGTGTCCAGTTCTGGTCGCCTCATTACAGGAAAGATGTGGAAGCATTGGAAAAGGTGCAGATGAGATTTACCAGGATGATGCCTGGAATGGAGGAAAGGTTGAGAGAGCTAGGGCTTTTCTCTTTAGAACGACGAAGGATGAGAGGTGACTTGATAGAGGTGTACAAAATGATCAGAGGTATAGATAGAGTGGATAACCAGAGACTTTTTCCTAGGGTGGAGGTAGCTATTATGAGGGGGCATAGTTTTAAAGTGAGTGGAGGTAGATATAGGGGAGACGTCAAAGGTAGGTTCTTTACTCAGAGTAGTCGGGGCGTGGAATGCATTGCCGGAGAGGGTAGTGGAGTCGGCCTCATTAGGGGCATTTAAGTGGCTATTAGATAGGCATATGGATGATAGTATAAGGTAGGGGTGGAGGTTAGATAGACCTTAGGATTAGGGTAAAAGTTCGGCACAACATTGTGGGCCGTAGGGCCTGTACTGTGCTGTACTGTTCCATGTTCTATGTAAGCTTACCCACATTTTTGCCATCACCGAGACTGCTGAATTCCAGCAACCAACTGCAACCCTGCTTTAATTCACCTGATGGGCTCAATGCCTTAATCAAGTCTAAACTTGATTACTCTAACCTTCTCCTGTCCAGTCTCGCACCTAGCACCCACAGGCAACTTAAGCTCATCCAACATTCAGCTGCCCATTTCATAATTTGCACCAGGCTCTGATCACTGTCACCCCAACATTCACCAACCTACGCTGATTTCCAGTTCAGCAGCAACTTAAAGTTTTAATCTTTTTCGGATTCTCCTTGATGTGCTCCTACTTTTCTCGGCAACCTTTCCCTGGGTTATAATCCTCCAAGTCTCAATCCTGACCTTGCGCATTTCCAAAAATCAACACTCCATAATTAGCAGACGGACTTACGCTGCTTAGTTCCTGAACTCTGGAATTTAATCCCTAAACCTCACTGCCTTTTTAAGAGGCTCTTGAAAAATCTACCTCTTTGTCCAAATCTTCCCTAGGGTAACATTGCATGCCTCAACCTCAGGTTGTCTTTTAACGTAGTCTGGTGAAGCACCTTGGGTCATGTTATTACATTAAAGGTCTTGCACAAATGTAAATTTTTGTTGTTCTTTGCTGAGGATTACTGAGAGGAGTTGTACTGCTTTCCCACTGAATGACTCAGCACAGATCAGGGATTAATATTCCTTTAAAACAGAACTCTACTACAACACAGATGTTGGAAAAAATTGCTATACTAACAGTAAATGCCATACGAGTAAAGTTTAAATAAATCCTAAACCCATTATTAGCTCTATACAATTTAAAAGAATAAGCATGTTTGCAAAAGACATAAGACAAGCAGGATTTCCATGCAATATTTTAATATTGAAAGAAAAAAAATTCTAAGACTGCCAGAAATTGTATCAAAGGGATCCTGGTTCTTAGCTAATAAGCTAGTCAGCTGGAATTGAATTCACAACAAGCACTCTTAACTAGACAAATGAATTCAATCTTTTGGTAAGGAAACACACTGGCATGGTATTTCTTTGTTAGCAGCATGCCTCCTGTTGGATAACCTTACAGCAGAACTCAACAGTTGTGAGATCTTATAATTTAGATCGACAATCACATCCTTCTAGTTACCAATCACAAAGTGGCATGGCAAGCTATTTTAGATATTCTGAAAGAAGAAAACACGTGGGGAAAGGGCAACAAAGATAAATGAATAAATGAGCGCAACATTCCAAACTTACTTGCTTTCTCTTTAAGTAAAGCGACCTGTTGTTTCAGGTACTCAATAACTTGGTCAGCCTCAGCAGCTCTCTGCTCCAACCTGTTTAACAAAGCACGATCGCTAGACATCCTTATCAATTGCCGGACTAGAAACCTGAGAGGAGAAAGAAAAAGCAGTTTCTTATCAGCACTGACAGATGTCCACCACATTACTTTTAAAGAAGTCCATAAATCTAAATTTTGTTAAAGCCAAATGTCACTGGAACAAGTTTGCTTCATTACTTTACAGGATAAATGAGGATGAACAGATCAACACTAGATAACTCTTTGTTCATGATATCAACAGCCTTTTAGAACCTGCAGTGATATTGTTACTTCTTTGTTTTATGGTAAGCATGCTTCAAGTTTCCTGCACATTTGAATGATAAGATCTTAAAAGTGATTAAAGCACTAAGAAATTGAACAGGTATACACCCACTGCAATGGCTCATGTGAAAACAGGGGAATAGCCATTACTGCAGAAGTGTAGAAATGAAAAAAAACCCATTCTGATTGAAAAACATAATAATTGCTTTAATTTTAGATTACAGAGAGCTGCCTTATTGAAAATTTATTGCGGTAAATATTATAGTCTGATTTGTGCCCCCACTTAGATCAAAAAAATTCCAAGTAAACTACAGAAGTTTCTAGTCATCTAGTCAATAAACATGTCATAATACTTGGAGACAACTACAAAATGTAGCACACTTAAGTAAAACTTAAACTGAAAAATTTTGCCCTCTCAGAATAGCAGATGATTTGAACAGATTTTGTTCATTAAAGGAAGTTGACAGATTTAATAAATTGTGTACAAAATTACAGCAGCAGCTTTAGTCGCAGTAAATAAAAGCTGACTGGTCCCATTAGCTAAGGACTGGGGCATATATGAATTTATGGTTTGGGGCAAGAGATTCAGAGGATAAGGAAGAGTTTGTTTTTATGCAGCAAAAAGGCAAGGACATGGGACTCCATGGAGAATGAGGGTGGATGAAGATGATGAATATTTTGAAAAAGAAATTGGATGGGCACTTGAGTGAAATAAACTTGTATTCGCAAGATGTTAGAGTGGAAAGTCACTGATCAATTTGCTTGACAGAATGCCAGTGCAGACTCAGCAACCTGAATAGTGGTCTTCTTTGCAAGTACAACTCTCTTTTATGAAGCAGGGCTGGTCAACTGTTCAAAATTAGAGCCAGTACGCTAAATTGCTTGCAGACAAAGCACTACACTTTGTGGGGTTTTGCTAAAACATTGCAATTACATAACATATAGAACACTCAACACAACAACAATTTTTCTCGTTATGCCTCACATGGCCAGTGGTTTTAAGCCCAGTCCCCATCCCGTTCTCATACCTCATCGTCACCTTTTGCTTCAAACATCTATCAAATCTATTTGCAAAAGTTGATATGATCTCTATTTCAATTAGTAACTCTGGGTTTGATATCCATAATACCAAAAACTCCAGGTGCAGGAAATCAGAAGTGAAAACAAGAATTGCTGGTAAAACTCAGCAAGTCTGGCAGCACCTGTGGAGACAAAGCAGCGTTAGCGTTTCAGATCCAATGACTCTTCTTTCAGAGCATCTTCAGATATTCATAATCCTGTGTAAACAAAACCTTTTAAGTTCTCCATCCTAAATCCTTAAAGGCAATCTTTCCAAGTCCTCTCACTAATAACCAAATGCTGAAATGAATAGCGTTGCCAGCTAAGCAAATATTAAATGAATAAATGGAGCTTGCTTTTATATATCAACTTAATGGTTACATTATGCATTGTGGGCAGGGTTGCTCATGGTGCAAGTTTCAATAATTCATCTTATTGTGCAAAAGTGACTCAAACCTGATACAAGACAGCCTAAGCTCCTTTTGAACCAAATTGCACCTATGTCGACCTTAGTCTTTTGCTATAGCGGCCCTCTTCAGAGAAAAGGAAGTGCACAGACCTGGCAGGTGGAGCAGCTGAGACTCCGCACTTACGCTTTCATGACTTGACAGGCACTGTGTGGGGTTTCCAAATAGTCTCAAAACAAGTGTTTCTGGAATTTATGGACAATATTTGTTTTACTTTAATAATGTGCAGCAATAGAAAGTTTAAGCCATAAAATTTAATTCTGGATTCTTGCTAACTGTAGTCACAGCATGAGGCTGCTGAAAGTAAGAGTTCTTGCAATATCTCCCAAGCCCACTGTAGGTTTGTAAGCATGAATCCTAGTAAATGTCAGGCATTCATTTCAGGGAATAATGGACTGGGACACAGAATGAGTAAATGACATTTTACTTAATTGTTTCATTTAATTTGTTATTTTGGATTTCCCCACAACCAGGTTAATTTTGGAAATTAAGGCTTCTCCCCAAACAAAAATACACATTGTATGTAGTATGTGCTTAAAGTTGATATTTGCACTTAGATGACCTCAGAACTTTAAAAATGTTGTATAGCTGATTTAAGTTCTTTTTAAATAATGCTGCCGTTGTAACATAAGCAAACATTGCAATTAATTTGTACACGGCAACATTCCACTAAGTCATGAGATAGATGATCAGTTGGTCTTTTTAAAATTAAAAAAAACCTTGAAAAGCACTACTGTCTTTCAAAGGGCTTTAATATGGTTCCAAAGTATGGAAATCTGTCATAGATTGAAATAACAAATGTATATCTATTCAGGAAGGGAAAGCAACATCTGAAGTTAATTAAATAGGTCTTGCGTGGTCCTCAGAAAAGGTGCAAACGTAACACACAATTTTGTTTTCCCCAGTGCCTAATTTCTTTAAAAGCAGTATCCAATTTAGTATTAAAACATACTGCTTAAAGTTTTAAAGCCCAAGTACGTTCAACAAATTTCCAAACACCTCTGAAATGCATCATACACCAGGCTACTTGTACTGCAGCCAGCTTCAAGCCCACATGATGTGAAATACTCTGGAGATATGTCTATGCTCCTATGACAGATATACTGCACACTCTACAAGAATGATAACTTAACACAAGTGCAAAAATATTTCTACAGCTGCAAGGTAAAATCATTAAAAAGAAAATCAAACTTCCAAAATTAGTCACTATTCATGACAGCTCTCTGCATTTTTCAATCTGAAGCACTAAGATCATATAGCTGTTTGCTGCCTGAGACAATATTGGAATGTGAACCTGCATCTAAATTTGCTACACATGAAGACTGATACAAAAATTATGGATAAATTGGACTTCAACACTGCAACACAAAGTGGCAATGTTGATTTTGAACAAGGTGTCAAAAAGTTGGAGGACCTATGGGTTCTATTAATAACAAGTTGAATTATTTTGTAATGTTAGAGCAACAGAGTTTCAAAGCTTTTGACAAAATAAAGTTGACCTTGCAAAGTAGATCCAATCAACTATCATGAGACAGAACATTGTTTTATTTTTCAACAACCACATGTGCTGTAGATCATCTCAGATCATTAAGAAAATGTCCACGGATCTTCATTTTGGTTTTAATTCCAAGACGTTTATCAAAAAAAGATTTAGAAGGAAAGTTTCCTGTAATTTGTAAAAAATTGTTTTTTTAAAAAAAAATCAGCTATTTAATCATTGATTTTATACAGTACAGAAACGAAATTTTGACAGGAAAATTAGGACAACAAATTGACAACAAATCTCCATATTGGTCTTCCAAATCCACATTCTTACAAGAGTGCTCTGCACCAGGAGCCTCACCCAAGATAATTTTAAATATGTTTATTCATGAAGATTCAAGAACAATTCAAGGACAGAGAACTGATGGGGAAAAAGTGTTGAAACACAGATTTTCAAGAAATTGAACTGATTTGTAAACCAGATAAAAACAAAATTTTAAAACCAACAAAGTTTTCAAAATTTAATTTCAATACTCAAGAATAAAAATTTAAAAAAGACTTGCACGGTTTGGATTGCTTAACGTCAGAATTGAGGAAGTTAAGAAGTTGATTGGTAGTTTAAAATTATAAGTAATTGGCCAAAATGATAGTTGCCATTGACTGAGGCATCTAGAACAAGAAGATGGGGATACAAGTCTAAAAGATTTTAATACAAATTGGCAGAAGCATTATACAAAGTTTGTGAACCCGAATGCACAGGAAACAGTGAGTCAAAGAGACTATTTCAACATTTACTAATAGATTAGATAAGCAGTTGAAGGCAAATTTTGCAAAGTGAGCAGACTTGTGGGATTAGGTCTGCTGCTCGTGGCAGACCACACTGCCTCTGAAATATTCAGGAACATCTTGAATAAACAACTTGTCCCCATATAAAAACAAGTATTTCTCTGAGACTTGGCTCAGCAGAACATACAATCATACAGCAGGGGAGGCCATTTGGCCCATCATGTCTATGTCAACACTTTGGCTGGCTCTCAGTCTGTCCCAATGTGCATACTTATGCCTCCACAGCCCTGTAAAATTTTATTTTCCAAATAATAATACTATTTCCTTTTTAAGTTAATACTGGATTTGTTGCTACCATCCTTTCAGACAATGCACTCTATCACAGCGCACTGTGGAAAATAAAGTTGCTGCTAATCTCCTCTCTGATCTTTTATACATTATGTACAGGCGAACATATAAATTTCAAGTAGTCCACTCAGCCCCTCAAGCCTGCTCTGTAATTCTCCACATTCCCACCTATCCTGATAATGTTTCATGCCCTTGCTTATAATCTATTCAGCTCTGAAATATAAAACTTTTCTTCAACCGACTTTTGAAGACTTCCAAAGACTCACTCTCTGTGGAAAAACATTCAACTTATCCGTTCTAAATAGGCAAGCTATTATTTTAACAATTGTTAGTTCTAGATTCTCCTTCAAGAGAAAACATCCTTTGTACATGCACCCAGTAAAGACCCCCATCAGTATCTCACACTCTTCAAGTCATCCCTCCCTCTTCTGAACTCCAGCAGAAACACGCCTAGCCTGTTTGACATTTCCTCATAAGTCAATCTACCCATTAAAAGGTATTAGCCTGATAAATCCTTTCTGAACTGCTTCCAATGCATTTACATAATTCCTTAAATAAGGAAACCAATACTGTCTTTCCTATTACAGATGTTATGCTAACTGGCCTGTAGTTACCTGCATTCAGTCTCCTTCCCATTTTGAATAAAGGAGTTATATTTGCTATTTTCTATTCCAACAGAACTTGCACAGAAACTTGGAAACTTTAGGAATTTACAACAAAATGAACTGTCTCACTAGCCACTTCTTTTAAGACCCGAGGATGAAGTCTATCAGTGTCTGGGATTTGTCAGTCCACAGCTCCAACAGTTTGCTCAGTCCCATTTGTCTAGTGATTGGAATTTTGTTGAGTTCACCCTTGCTTCCATATTCTGATTTACAACTATTTCCAGGATGTCACTTATATCCCTGCAGTCAAGACAGTTATGAAACACCTGTTAAATTCATCTGCCAACTCTATTTTCCATTATTAATTTCACAGTCTCACTTTCTAGAAGATTAATGTTCACTTTGTTAACCCTTTTCCTTTTTAAATATCTACAGAAACTCTTACCATCTGTTTTAATATTTCCGGCTAGTTCTTTTTGTATTTTTTTCTCTTCTCATTAACTCTTTTGTTGATCTTTGCTGTTTTTATATTCAGTTCAACCTTCTGATTTGCTGTGCGCAATTAAAGTTTAGCACGATCTTAAAATTTTTTTAGTTCACTGGGATGGTGGATCCTCCCCTTTGGAATGTTTCCACTTGGACTATATCTATTCTGTGTATTCTGAAATATCCCTTTAAATGTCTCCACTGTATCTCTGCAGAACTATCATTTAACCTAATTTGCAAATGTAATGTAAACCTAATGTACAACATGCATCCTTTGCTTAAAGACATTACTGTCTGTCTTATTTTATTTGCACCTTCAAATGTATTTTGAAACCTCTGTTGAATCTTCTGTAGGTTCTCTGCTCTAATGAGAACAATCTCAGGGTTTCCAGCCTCTCCACGTGAAAAATATTTCTCATTCCTGGTAGGATTTTACCAAGTCTGGATGCACACAATATTGTTACAGCTGATTCTGCATTGCGTACACCACTGATGACCAGACTGTCAACCACATTAAGGGGATACATCATTTTAATATGTTGAATGCTGTGTTACGATGCATCCGAGACCATGTCTAACATTTAAGAACACTTGGGTGTAATGTTCACAACACAGGCTTGCAAGATGCCAGAGAGAAAGGAATGCAGAATTTGGCATTGGGAGAAGGATGACAGTGTTGGGAAGAGAAGGATCATGAAAAGATTTAAGCACAAGGTGAATTTAAATTGAAGGCTTTGGAAGACTTGGAGGTAATGAAGGTCACCAATATTAAAAATAATAGTAAATAAAAATTGGTGTAA